TGTTGCCTACTTAATCCTTTTGGCCGTTTAGTGGGAAATATAGTACGCCGTGAAATCTTACCTTTTGGGCAGTTATGAGCGAATGCTGTTCATCATGGGAATGCCACCAGTTAGGACTCTGCGTTGGATTTTCAATAGTGCTTCATTAAAACAAAATTTTACAGCAGTCAGCGATAACCAGCTACAGTTGGACGCGTCCACGAAGCGACTGGAAACATCGACTGATCAAGGAGGAAACCGAGCGCATATGCGAAACGACCGGAAGGATGTAGGTGCCCGATGTTCATATCGGATTGGTCCAGAAATCCGTAATTGTACAAAAGAATGAGTTTACATGATGAAGAGGACTGAAGGCTACAGAACAGGTTAAAAGGACAACGTGATTGAAGACAAAGAAACTGCGTTGTTGGCAGCATTGCTTGTATATGAAAGAATGTTGTATAAAGCTTTTCACCCAGATTTCGTGTACTTTTCTCTTGCAACCTCGCAACAGTTGTAATATGCATCATTTGATAAGTGAGGTCGAGGCTGAGGGCAAGAGTGATACACCCACAAAATAACGCTGTTAGCACTACTAGAAAGAACGCCGCTTACCTTTTGAGCAAAGTGTGTGTTGTTTTGATCATTACCTTAAGACATTTGCATAATCAGAACGCTTCTGGCTTGTGATGTCCGTTGAATTTGCTGCTTTTCGACATTGTGCTAGAAGGCACTGGTTACCGCATCATAGAATGAATAATTCGTTTTGACAAGCAAATTTACCTCCACCCAATTCATCCATGTTGCACAACGGATCAACCGTTTTCGTGAAGGAGTGGAGTACTGCTAGGAAGCTACGACAACTGAGGTCGTTATGTAATTGTCATATTATGGTTTTACCTGAGGCTTGCCTGTGTACATGAAAACTTTCTCGAGAGCTGATGTTTAAATGACATAATTCAACATATTAAAATGAAACAAAAATATGCAACAACAATAATATCAAGGACAACAGTTAAAATGCTACAACAATCTAGATAATGTATTAAAACAGCTTTTGCTCGTATATCGAGTTTAAAGCGGGTGTTGTAGCGGATCAGTTGATTAAATTAGTCATGTCTACTTTTTTCAGTGCCAGTCGGTGTGGCACTGTTGCTTTTTTCGGTGCCCGTTCTTGCGTCGGTCCCGCCACAACTTATTCATTACTTGCATAGCAATTTATTACGCATCGCTGGAACTGAAATCACGACGGATCTTGCCATGGCGGACGTTTCTTCGAACACGAACAGAACAGCGGAAACCGTAGCCACTGCCGACCAGGGGACACCTGACGCCCAACAGCCAACTTCTACCAATTTCCAAGGTGTCCCCCTTTTCATTGAACCTACCGTTGAAAACATCGATCGGCTGATGTTTGGCAAGGAAATGCTATCTAAGTTTCTTTCGCATCTTTCGCTCACTAGAAAGCTACTCGATCAGCAACTGGCAAACTTGCAAAACATGCCTTTGTACTGCAAGATGGACCTGGCAGCATCCAGCGGATGCTTTTGCGGCGGAACGCCGGTGAGCCTGAGAGAGAAGCTATATGCTCCCGTGGACAAGTATCCGGGCTACAATTTCTTGGGGCGCCTTTTTGGACCTCGAGGAACTACCATCCGAGAGCTGGAGAAAGAAACGGGATGCCGAATAACGGTCGTCAATTTAGTTCATGCAGAAACTGATGCGAACATACATCAGGGAAACTGGACAACCCCTTCCGAACAAGTGGCCGTACTCATAGAGGTAGAGGATACTATGAGCGAGGCCAGGGCAAAACTTCAACGAGCCACATCCAAGGTCTCGAAAATACTCACCCCTCCACCTTTCGGAAAGGACTGGCTGAAAAGCAGGCAGCTCAGAGAATTAGCTATGCTAAATGGCACGTACAAAGATCGAAGAGCTGACCGTTCAACTCAACGAACATCGATGAGTTCAGCCCCTCCTCAAACCACTGACCGACGATCTTAATCTTCTCGTAAAATGGTTACTAGTAATATTCTACTAATCATCAGTAAAGTTTTAAAACTTGCTTTACGTTCTGACGTCTTTTCGTAAAAGAATCAAGGAATCGTGTAGTTAGCGTTTAAGACCGACTCTGAGTAATTCATTGCTCGACTAAAATTTAATACATTTTCTCTCGCAATTTGTTATTTATTTAATATTATTGAAAAATTGAGTTATACGAAAGTTCTTGAGTCTGAAGGACAACGGTTCTCTATTCCGCCACCAAACAGTCTCAGACAAAATAGGGCAAAATTAGGTTGGTGGGATGACGATAGTGCGCTTGAACCCTCTGACTGAAACCCCGCAGCTATAAAAACAGTCACTCAGTCAGGTGCGCATAATTCTGAAGAGCCTGGGTCGGTGGATCCCTTGCGAGCAGGAGTTCTATTCAGTATATATTTTGTTACGTCGATCGAGTGTTCACTTCAGGCAAGAAGTTAATATGGCTTCTGAAGGTGTTCGGAGTGACAAGGTCGCGGTTTATAATGGAGGAGACTTTTCCGGGTCAGGGCTGAAACTCATCAATCAAAAGCTCTGTCTCCTCATCGGACAGTAAAGCGACGGCGCTTGTGGGTACACGATGTCGACAATTTGCTCAATAGTCATTCAGAATTGCTGATCTGGCTCTTATGGTAATCAATAAATGGCGAAGGCAATATGCCAGGTGAGAACAAAACCGAAAAAGACTTTCCATCAGTGTAACAGATCAAAACCAATGAGAACTTAAATCTCTGGTCACTACTGTGATTCGCAGGTTCGGTTTAACCGTCCGCTTGCTTTTAGTAGCTTGGCTGTTTCACCATACAACTAAATTACGACTCAGTAGTATTTTGGCACTTGCAGTGCATCGGAGCAAAGCAGCAGCAGTTGTTAGGTTGAACAACACATATTTTAACCCAAACACTTATGTCTCGATCTGCAGCTTTTCCCTTAATAAAACTCGCGACATTGGCGTCAGTGCACTAGTCCAGACAAGAATCGCCGCTATGGAACGGTGATACTGCGATTTTCAGGAACTGATTGACTTGTCGAATTTATCACGATCAGTTATTAACACCAACTGAACTCATTTAATATCAATATAATTTTTATCCTGATGTCGACTTTGAGGAATATAGTACATTGCATTGCCTTGTAATATATATTGTAAAATTAAAAACCAATTTTTTTTCAAATGATGAATGAATACTACCGTCCACGCCTATTTACAAATGAAGCAGAGTTGCGCTATACGTTTCGTATATATAAACATTGTGAAGAACAAATTAATCTATCTTTCTCCTATTCAATTGAATCAAAGACGACACTGGTGTGCACATGTATTCTGCCAGGATCGACAAAATGATACACCTCACGCCATTCAATGACTTGTCATTTGTAACGAGGTCTACCCATCTTGTTTGAGGTCTTTCTGGCTACCTCTTGTTAGATGGCTTTTCATTCAATATCCCCTTCACAAGGCGGCTATTCCCCATTCATTGACAATGGCCCCATCATTTTAAACGCCTTGTTTGCCACCAGTCTGTCACTTCAATCAAATATTTTAATTTCTCTCATACAACGGCATTTAGCAACATGTCACGTCACTTCACTGTTAATGGCAGTCCCAAAATCTTCGTTTCCTTCACTTTCAGTTTCTTTCTCAGCTTCCTGAATGCTGCTGTCATATGGCGATGGAGAAATACATTCAGGCCGCAAGCCATATATGCTAGTTGGTGTTGTTAGAGTCAGCGGGGGGCATAGCAGTTTGGTGAATTAATTGCTCAAATGGTTAGGATTTAATTAGTCAGAAAGTCAAAACATTTTAACGTTGTGGGAGACCTGAACAATGAGGAAATATTTTGCTTGTAATATTAAATATGCAAATTCCTGTTTTGGTAGAACCAACCTTCGTCAGCCAAGAAACTCACAGACATTCCTTCACTTTCAAAGTCAAGGTCAAAAGTCTGATCGTGTAATAATATTATTTCAAGTCAAAAAGCTTGGTGTTGACCATTTGTGGTCTTGCACTTGTCCTCTTCGACAAGTAACAACGACGTGATCCTTGTTACCTTTCGAGATAGGAATAGCTTTGATCTTGCCAGGTTTTTCTGTAGACTAATGTATATTTTTGACATTTCTAGCCCAGAATCCAGATAAATATAATTTTTCGCGGTCTGAATCAGGAAGGCTTTTAATAAGATCATATCGAAGATATTCGGTACTTTCGTAATGAATTTTGTTTTTGGAAATCGATGCGGTGTCCAGTCGTAACGTGATCATGGGGGGGAGGATCCAGAGCTTATTTCAAACTTGATGTGCTTCTTGGTCCTGGATAGCTTGTATTTTGGTTCTCTTATGTTCATCGACTCTGATCCGCAATGATCGTGACGTCTAGTCAAGGTATCGCATGATGCAGGTCAGGTAGTTGATTTGGTACTCCGTGAGGTATCCGGTTTTTTTGGCTTCATTAGTGGTGGTCTTATGTTCCTTTTAGACTTGAAGGCAACTCCGATGATTGCTGAGTTCATAAACTACCTGACAGAATGTGAAAGGCACAAAAAGCAAGGAACTCAGATGTTAATGCAAGGTCTTGATTCAGTCTAAGTTCTTACCGTCTCTTCGACCGGTGTTTTACAGATAAGCGTTTTGGACACCCCTTTCATTTCAATATGTCGCAGATATGCTATACTTCTTTTCCAGCCTCATTGCCCGATCACAAGTTGTAGTATCGATCCGTCAGGCGTTTACTCATTCGGGCCTTAGAAGTCCGAAAAAATAACAATGTAATAATTAACATTATATATTTAACGTTAGGCAAACAATATTAAAAAAATATTTCTGAGAACGGCGCAGGTAACACACAAGGTTCAGAATTTCTTAAGACTACCAACACCAGCTGATCATGATTTTGAGCGGAGCCGCAATCGTCGACAACTAACTGCAAGCGCCGTGGTCCGTGAGACAGACATCGAAACGTCTTAGTTATCATACAGGAGTACTAGTTTTCGTACGCTGCGCGATCGTCGCTCGAGAGTATTTTCCGAGAACAGGATTTCCGATGTTCTGGCTGTAGTCTTATCGTAATCGACAATGCGAGGGAAAAACTCACTGAAGGTATGGGGTTTTTCAGTGCCATGCTGTTTCTATTTATCTGATTGCTGCTCCACTGGTGATTAGTACTTTTCCGTGAACGTAGACGGCATGGTAGACATGATATTCGCACTCACTGGACGGACGATCGAGTAATTACAAGTTGCAATCTCTCGCTCTTGAACTGGCGACGCACGGCGTTACAACGAGCTCGAGAAACTGCCCGAAATTGCAATCCAAATTCTGGACGGTATGAATGGTTTTCCTTCTGCTTATGTGATTTTCATTGGCAGACTTTCTTGTTAATAAGTTCGCTTCATATTCTCTGCATGGCTTTGCTAAAATACCTAACAAGTCGTAAAATCCGAGGAGCAATTCAAGCGATTGCTC